GAACCTTGTCGGGCGAGCTATCAAATATAAAAAAATATAGAGTGGGCATAGTAAACACTTTACTTGAAACATTTTTCACAAAATGGTTTCATTAATTAATATAAAAATTATAAAATACAAATCTTTATATTTTATTTCGTAACACTGTAACTTATTTTGTTACAAAAGATGAAGCTTATAACTTTATAAAATGTTTTTTTTGCATGTCGATACAAGGACAAGAGGTGGCACTAAACTTGACGACTGATATAATACCTTTGAGAGAAAGTACCAATGAGTAAATTTTGTTCACTATGCTTTGTCTATATACTTTTAAATGTCTTTGGAATGAAGTCAAAACATACAAAAATTTAAAAATACAAATCTATCCTCTTTATAATATTAGTATAGAAGTATAGATAGTATACAACGTACAGGTCCGTGGACGATCTCCCCGTTGCCTTGCGCCTGCGCAGGGTCGCGCGCCTCCACGTCTTCTGAGCCCACGGAGCCCTCCTTCTTGTGGTGATGGTGATGCTTCTTTTTGTTCTTTATTATTATCTTACGCTTCAGTAGAGATGGGGGAGGTAACTCCCCTCCTGATAACACATACGATATAAATAAAGCTATTTATGTAACAATGTCATAATCCTTCTAAAAAATTGAACAGAATCTTTTAAAAATCACAACGAATTTCACAAAATTTCAACTCTATTCTTACTGTTGCATTTATTATTGAACTTTTGTACACAAGGTATTCAACATTGCCTCTACATAGAAAACCCGTCAAATGATCCTTATTAACATAAAAATCGCGGAGCTAAATCTATACTTGCGCAATATATTATGTGCAAACAAGCAGTATTATTGTAATATATTCAATGAATAATAATCCAGCAAGCAATATCCGGCTGGGGCCCGGGTAGCAGCGCACAGGATGTTCCCGGATATAGAACGTAAAACTGATTTCGTATCGAATATTCCCCACATTACGGACGCTTTGCAAATTCAATCACATACTGTTTCTATTACCTTCCTTATACACTTCAATCTACAACCTATATAGATAATAGAATAAGAAACGAGAAACGGCTCTCCGTAAAACTTGTATTGTAATCAATTAAAAGTTTACACTCTTTGTTCTAATATATCAAAACACTAGCTTTCGCCCGCGACTCCGTCTGCGTGTAATTTAAAAAGAAACAAAAGTGAATAGCTTATACGTTTTTCCAGTCTACGCCCTACGTCTTTGCCAAATTTCATCGAAATCCGTTCAATCGTTTAGACTACAAACTCTAACAAACATCCATCCATCCATCTAAACTTTCGCGTTTACAATATTAGTAATAATTATTTAAAATAAGATGTGTAACTAACAAGGCTAGACGAAGATAATACGATGATAGAAGAAGATACGATTACATTTAACTTGTATAAAACACTAGATTCTCAAACATTCTAGAATGTAATCACGTTCAACAATTAAACATTTCCACGCGAGGATAGTACATTGATCGCGGTAATTATTCCAGTCCGAATAAAAACGTACGTCGGTTATAAAACGGGAATCGCTTATACATCACAAGGTTTATGTGACAGTGGGAATGTCAATAAAACCGCGGGAAATATTGCGAGGCGGCGATGATGCCGGCTTTAACAATCCGCCGGATGGCGATAAACCCGAGGCCCTGCTGTACCAACAAACACGCACACGGTATTTTGCTTGTATTGAAAATAAATCGAACAATTTTTGACAATAATAAAGATACGCAGTTTAGAACAGAAGCGACTCATTGACTATTAAAATACGAAATCAGATTTTTATACGAGTGAAACAGAGGAGCAAGGATACATAGATGTATAAATCTAGAAGAGACAAGTGAGGTGTCCCGCAAACTACCCAATTGAAAACCCCCATGCTTTACCTACTCTTCTGTAATATAGATTTTTATTGTAACATAAAATAAGTAAATAAAACTGGCATATTAGAGTGTCCTTTAAGTAAAACTTAGAAGATAACTCACCTGGTTCCAATTGATGTGAATCGAGCGGTCTATCGAGTAGCATATCACCGAAGATGTCCCGGCAGTAATTAGCT